TTCATGAGTTACTTATTTAACAGGAGGCAGATCCAACCCCACAGCCAATCTTGATAAGAAATCTATGTGATACTTGCCCTGGTAGGGACTATCATTCAAAATACTCACTTTTACTCATAACACCTTCCCACTGATGTAACGAAGAATTTTATTTCCTCTGAGTCATAATAGACAAAAGAGATATTTAATTTCTACTGTATACCAAGATGTCTTATATATACAGATAATGTTGTACAATTTCAGATTCATGTAGTAAATAAGGGAATCTGAGTTAGAACTGGTTTTGTCTAGTTTGTGCCTTAATTTCTATTTGCTTGTTTTGGGATGTTTTTTGCAATACTAGGGGTTGACTCTATGGCCTTGTATGTGCCAGGCAAGTGCTCTAACACTGAGCTACATCCCCAGCCCTCTTTTTACTTTAAAAAAGTTTTAAGACAAACATGGTGGTGCATGCCTTTAGTCCCAGCACTTGGAAGGCAGAGGCAGGCGGATCTCTGTGAGTTCAAGGCCAGCCTGGTCTACATAGTGAGTTCCAGGACAGCTGGGGCTACAGGGAGACCCTGTCTCAAAAAAAACGGAAAAAAAAAAAAAACCACAAAAATATTTTCCGGCCGGGTGTGATAGCACACACCTTTGATCCCAGCACTCAAGAAGCAGAGGCAGGAGGATCTTTGTGAGTTCAAGGCCAGCCTGGTCTACATAGCAAGTGCCAGGCCAGCTGGCTGTATAGGGAGATCCTGTCTCAAAAAGAACCCCCCCTGAAAAAAGACTAAAAATAATTAAAATAGCTTCAATAAATGTCTGACTGACTCTGCTTCATATTGACTAGTCCTAAAATTCTTTTAAGTCATGAATTTGCCTTGATTTTAGGTCCCTACAGATTAGGAGAACTCCTTAAGCTACTGTGTGTGTCAGAGGGAGCTGTGCTGTCTTCCTGTTCCCCTTGGCAATGTGAGAGTTTCCCCTTTCTTCACAAACAACACACAGAGAAGGTGGCTGTCTACAAGCCTGGGAAAGAGCCCTCATACCTTACACACTACAGCCTTAGACGTCTCAGCCTGGAGAACTGTGAGAAATAGGTGTTTGCTGTTCAGGCCATGGCCTTTTTCTATAGCTGACTAAGGCACAGAGAAGGGTCTCTGAGGGCTCCACTGAGTCTATTTCTGATGAAGTTTCAGTGACCTGCCTCTCTACTCTTAAACCTGACAGTTTCCAGGTAGCATGCAACCCTGCCAAAAGCCCCACCTTCTAGGAAGGTTCTTCTAGTGACTTCTATCATATGCCTGTCATGATCCCTTTCTGTGTTTGACCTGCTCTTCACCGTCACAGTTCTCTCTGGGGAGTCTCCACCTGTTCTACTCTGAGCTCTTTTTAATGTTTAACCCTCTCACATTGGAAGACGACAGCTCCCATATCACTGTTTTCAGCCCAGACCCGTTTCTTGATCTGGAAGCCATATATCCAGTGACCTGTCCTGCCCAACATCTCCACTCAGACACTCCAGAGGCACCTCAAACCCACCATGTTCTGGCTAAATACCATCTCACCCTTCTCTCCCAGCTTGAGTCTTTTCCTTGACTCCAACTAAGAGAAAGAAACTCCTCTCCATGTGTGTGATATCGGCCTTGGCAGTCTACATTGGCCCCATTCTTTACCCCACCTTGTACCCTCACCCTTGCTGTGGTCTCATCCCACTACTTGACTTTTGGCTAGCCATAAGACTTTAACCAGTGGCACGGAGGCCAAGTATGTAGTATGCCAGTTCCGGGTTGAGCCTTAGAAGTCTCATGCTGGATTCTCAGAGGTGTGTGCGGGTGGCATGCTGTATTGGTTTCAAGAGGAAAACAAGAAGCACATAGAATCGAGTCACCCCAACATGAGCTTAGACATGCTAACCCCTGGTTAATCAGCTGATCTATGAGTGACAATGAGAGATAATTTCAAACTAGGTGTGGTGGCACACACCTGAAACTACAGCATTTGGGAAGGAGAGGCAGGAGAATTAGGAGTTCAAGGTCAGTCTCAGCTACACATTGAGTTCAAGAACAGCTTGGGATACAGGAGCCTTTGTCTCAAAACAAAACAGATAATGTCAGGCCAGATGTGATGGTGCAGGCTGTAATCCCAGCTACTTCAGAGGCAGTGGCAGGAGGATTGCAAGTTCAAGGCCAAGCTGGGCTACATAGTGAGTTCTAGGCCAAACTGTACAACCTAGTGAGACACTCTCTCAAACATTTTTGTTTTAAAAAGATTATTTCAGCCAAGCATAGTGCCATTTATCTATAGTCCCAGCTACTAAGGACGCTGGGGGTACAGGGATTTTTTGAGTCCTGGGGCGGGGAGAGAAAGAGAGAGAGAGAGAGAGGGAGGGAGGGAGGGAGGGAGAGAGGAAGGAAGGAAGGAAGGGAGTACATGAAGTTGTCAGAATTTTTTTTTTTGAGATTATTTGAGATAGTCATATAGCCCAGGCTGGCCTTGAACTTGTGATTCTCCTATCTCACCCTCCCAAGTGTTGGATTACAGGTGTGTGCTACTACCCCAGGTTTAACTTAAAAGATTTAAAAATATATTTATTATTTTTATTTTATGTGTATGAGTGTATTGCCTGCATGTAGGTAAGTGGACCCGTGTCATGCAATGCCCATTGCAGAGAGGCCATTGGATCCCCTGGAACTGGAGCTACAGACAATTGTTAGCTGCCATGTGGGTTCTGGGACTTGAACCTGGTCTTCTGCAAGAACAACCAGTGTTCTTAACCTCTGAGCCATCTCTCCAGCCCAAAAGATTTTTTTTTTAATTATTAGGAGTTGACCCTAGTGCACAGGTCAGGCAAGTGTTCTACTACTGAGCTACATCTTCAGCTACTTTTAAATTTTATTTTGAGGCAGGGTTTCACTAAATTGCCCAAGCTGACCTTGAACTAGAGATCCTCCTGTCTCTGCCTCCCAAGTGCTGGGATTACAGGCATATGCCACCATGACCAGGTAAAAGTTTTTTAAAAATGGAACTAGTGGGGTTGGGGATTTAGCTCAGTGGTAGAGCACTTGCCTAACAAGCGCAAGGCCCTGGGTTCGGTCCTCAGCTCTGAAAAAAAAAAAGGACAAAATAACAAAAAAGACCAAAAAAAAAAAAAAAAAAAATGGAACTAGTAAACTGGGCATGTACCTTTAATCCCAGCACTTGAGAGGCAGAGCCTGGTCTACATAGTGTGTTTCAGGCCAGCTGGAGCTACAGGGAGACCCTATCTCAAACAAAAACAAAAACGAACAAAAAATGGAACTAGTACAAGTGGAATACAAGACCCAAATGAACACAAGATAAAATGGAGTTAGACTTCCCAGTATCACTGTGAGGACTAAATGTACCCAGCAGGCCACACATCTGTTCTTGACTGGTCCAAATATCTGGCTATTGTCATCATGAATAGTGACTGCAGGGTCCCATGTTCACACTAAGCAGTGCAAGCCTTAAACGACAGGTATTTAGGGTTAAAGGTATGTGCCACCACACCTGCCTATAAATTGCATTCATGGGTTGGAGAATTGGCTCAGTGGTTAAGAACACTGGACTGGCCAAAGAACACTGGACCCGGATTCTATTCCCAGCACCCACATGGGGGGTTAACTGTCTGTAACTCCAATTCCAGGGGAATCCGACGCCCCCTTCTGACTTCCTCAGGCATTGCATGACATGAGTGCACATACATACATGCAGGCAATACACTCATAAATAATAATAATAATGATAATAATAAAATTGCATTTATTTGCCAGGTCTTGGGGGGGGCATACCTTTGATCTCAGCACTCAGAAGGCAGAGGGAGGTGGATCTCTATGAGATTGAGGCCAGCCTGGTCTACACAGCAAGTTCTGGGCTACCTGGGGCTACAAGGAGACCCTTTCTCAAAAAGCAAAACAAAACAAATCCACAAAAACTGAGTTTTCATTTATTTATTTATTTATTTATTGCATGTGTATGTGTGGTGGTCCATGTGCCACGGTGCACATGTGGTGGATGGAGGACAACTTGTGGGAATTGGTTCTGTCCTTCCACCATGTCTGTACCACTGATGGAACTCAGGTCCCTGGACTTGGTGGCAAGCGCCTCTACCTACTGAGTCATCTCACAGGCTCATGAACTTTGATTTTTTTTTTTTTTTTTTTTGGTCTTTTTGAGACAGGGTCTCCCTGCAGCCCTAGCTGTCCTGGAACTCACTATGTAGACCAGGCTGGCCTTGAACTCACGGAGATCCACCTGTCTCTGCCTCCCAAGTGCTGGGATCAAAGGCATGTGTCACCACGCCCGGCTTATGAACTCTGATTTTTAAATCCAGAAGTGACATGTGACACACATGAGGACTAACTCGTATTGCTAAGTCTGTACAGTCCCGGTCAGACCCCAAGTCTTCCAACCTCAGGAGACATTTCCTTAGAACCTCTGAGTCACCACCATGGGTGGACAGCAGCTCCAGTATCCAAGAGACAATTCTAGAGGATTCCCAGGCTCAAGGCCACCAGAGGAACCGGCCAGAACAAGTTAGCTGAGACTAAGTTCAAACCTGTAGTGTCCTCAGGGGAAGCCAAGTCATTTTAGGGCAGGTCTGTGCACCATCAGGGACAATGAACCTGGAGGGAAGTGGGCTGTGTTGGAGGGTGGGAACCATCTATGGCCCCGGGCAGACTCAGTCCCTTCTCGCTTCCTCCCGCAGGCGGCGCCAGAGTGTAAACTCTGACTCGTGACTCCGGTCCAGAGTTCGGCCGGGCGGGGCGAGGGGCGGGCCCCGGTGTCTCGGAGCTTCGGAGCGCGGAGACTCTCCAGGCTGGACAGGACTGAGGGCCGGATGCGCAGCGGAGCCATGGAGGAGAGCGCGGTTCGCCGCTGCTGCCTGGGCTGGGACTTCAGCACGCAGCAGGTACGCTCCCGGGTCGCAGATCCCTAGGGCTGGAGCTGCGGGGCCGCCTCCTCGGTCACGTGGGGAGCGCACTGGCACACCCGGGGCACCCTGGGCGCGCGGATCCTGCGTGGACCCGAGTGCGCGCCCGGTTCTCCAGCTTCCCGCTGCCGCGCCCGAATCCCGGTGCACGCGGTTGGAATCTGGCGATGCTCTGCCAGCCAAATGCGTCCTTCCGGAAACGGCGGGCGGCTCCCGGCGGGATTCAGAGAACACGTAGCGGGCGGGTAAGCGACCGGAGGGGCCAGTGTGCCGTCCCCTGGGATGGCAGGGACCCAGAGACACTGAGCTCAGCAAAGACCGCATAGCAGACAGGCAGAGGTGCGCGCTTGCATAGTAACCTGGAACCGGATTGCAGGTGGGAACCATTAATTGATTAATTTGTTTTATTTATTTATTTATTTATTATTTATTTATTTATTTTCGAGGTAGAGTCTCATTATATAACCTTAGCTGTCCTGGAACTAACAATGTAGACCAGGCTGGCCTTCGCTCACAGGGATCCGCCTGCCTCTAACCATCCCGAGTGCTGGGAATAAAAGCGCAGGACACCACGCCTGGCCATTTTTATTTTTTTAAAACGATAGACTTTGCCCCTCTTTCTTGGTTGACACTAGCGTGCCAGGGTCTGCAGTCCAGGACTGCTGGTCAGAGGTTGGTGGTGTTCCCAAGGCTCCAGCCGGTAAGTGTGCTGAATCAAAATCTTACCTCAAAGTGGGTATGGGATTCCCAGGGGGCTTTTCTGCTTACATGCACTTACTTGGAATAAACATATTGGCAATGAAACCCTCTCCTCAAATGGGTCGAGAGTCAGAACTCACCAGTCCCTTTGGGAGCATCCTGAGAGACTCAGAAAGTCACCTTGTCCTGCTAGACCGTTTATCCATTGTCCAGGAAAAGTCGGGTTGTGGTCTTAAATTAAGCTCAGTTTCCCCATCTGCCTTGAGTTTGGAATGGCATCATTGGGATATCTTGTCTGTCTTGACCTTAATGCCTGGCTCTGAGAACAACCCATGAGCCTTGCCTGACTTCTCAGACCCTACAGACATGCTTCTTGCCAGGTCAGGGACCCAGTTCACCTGTGAACCTTCCCAATGTGTGACTGTGGGATCAGCTGTTAGGGAAAACAGATTCTTATAGACAGTGGGGGTTTCTACTTGTCTTCTTTCTTTTTCTGAATCTTTGGGCATGTGCCCAGATGGGGCCTCTGTTGCTATGGTTACAGGGTATACCCTACCCTTCAAGGTGGTCTTTAGGCTAAACCTTGCCTGTTGATGTGAGGAGTGGCTTGGGCCACAGTAGAAGCTGAGACAACCCTGTATACACCATTTTCATGAATGCCTTCCAGGTGAAAGTTGTTGCTGTTGATTCGGAGCTGAATGTCTACTATGAAGACAGTGTGCATTTTGACAGAGACCTTCCTGAATTTGGGTATGTACCTGGTGTGCATGTGTAGCTTGGTGGTTTGAGATCCTCCCCAACCTTTTACATTGATCAACAGCACTGTTCTCACTTGACCAAACTGCAGTAGAGCTCTGAGCATCTTTTTTTTTTTTTTCTGTATATGGAATGCTTTCTCTCCATTCTTTCCCAATTCTATTCATTCATTCACTTATACATTTGAGATCTGCTTTGTGCCAGGCACTGTGCGGGTGCTAGAATCTGATAGTTGTCTGTTTATAATAAAACAGTACCACAGACAGTATATTATAAAGAAAAGAGTTGATGTTGGCTCATGCTTCTAGCCAGAGTTTAGGGGTCATATCTGCTGTCAGCTTTCTTAATTTTGGAGTACTTTTGGCATAGGGCATCACATGGCAAAGGGAAGGAATTCACGTGTACACAGGTATATGCATGTATTATATGTGTGTATCTTTTTTGCCCCCTCCCCCCGCCCCTTTCTTTGAGACAGGGTCTCATGTAGCCTGGGGTGGCCTCACCCTCACTCCGTAGCTGAAGATAACCTTGAACTCCTAATCCTCCTGCTTCTACCTCCCAAGTGTGGGGATTATAGGCACCTGCCACCACACTTTGTAGGCTAGGCTGGCCTCCAACTCAATCTTCCTTCCTTAGCCTCCTGAATTTAGGAATTATAGGAATATGCCACCACCCTTGGCTTCTCAGTTTACTTATTCATTTTTCTTTCTGTGCCGTGGATCCAAGAAGACCTTGTGTTTACTAAACACTTACCATACCCTGGAGCTATCCCATCAGCCTCTCTTATTTATTTTTGGTCTTTTTTGAGACAGGGTCTCCCTATAGCCCCAGCTGGCCTGGAACTTGCTATGTAGACCAGGCTGGCCTTGAACTTACAGAGATCCACCTGCCTCTGCTAGGACGAAAGGTGTGTGCCACCACCCCCAACTAGTTCCTGTCTCTGCCCAGAACTAGCCCCTGTCTCTCTTATAAAGCTACCTGTTCAGCTGGGTGTGATGACATGCACCTGTTATTTTAGCAATGCACAAGACTATGAGTTCAACACCATCCTGGGCTACAAAATAAGACTCTAGCTAAAAAAAAAAAAAAAAGCCAGCACTTTCAACCACAGGGCTCAGCAAGCCCCTCTCTTCTGGGTGCCTCTCTTCTGAGAAGGTGCCTTCTAAGCATCACTCTCCCAGGACCACTTTGGATGATTCTGTGCCTTCTCTTTGTATCTTTCTCTGGTCAGTCTACAGTCTCTTCTTGAAGCTAGGGGGTATTATCCTTCAGCTGGAGTCCTCCGGCCTCTACCACCACAAGGCAGCTTTGCAGTGCTCTGCCTGCCCTGGGGCTCCATCCCACATCCCTGTTCTCCCTGCAGAACTCAGGGCGGTGTCCATGTACACAAGGACAGGCTGACGGTCACCTCTCCGGTCCTGATGTGGGTCCAGGTAAGCACAGGGATCCCTTCCCTCTTCTGTCTCCAACTTGTATCATTGGCAGACTTCATAATTTGCTAGGAAACCCCAAGGTAGCAGCTTACCAGGGCATCTGTTGAGACCATGTTTAACCCTTAGGGTTAAAGTGAGTCAGAGTGGTTCCTGGGGCAGGCTAGCCCTAGCTGGTGACCGTACTCAGCAGAGTGGGCTCATTAGGGCTTCCTAAGATTGGTAAGTCCTTCCAGTGTCATTTTTATTTAATTTTTAATTTTTATTTTTTAAGGCTGGGTCTCATGTAGCCCATGAAAATAAAAAAATTTTATTTTTTGAGACTGGTCTCAAACTCACTGTGTAGCCAAAGATGACCATGAACTTCTTTTTATTTTTTTATTTTTTGGTCTTTTTGAGATGGTCTCCCTGTAGCCCCAGCTGACCTGGAACTCACTGTGTAGACTAGGCAAGCCTTAAACTCACAGAGATCCACCTACCTCTGCCTCCTGAGTGCTGGCACCAAAAGTGTGCGCCACCACACCTGGCCAATGGATAGCTTTTATAGAAGATTCAATTAAGTGAAAGAAAAGAACCATCAAACCCATTTGAGTTAGATGGCTCAGTGGGTAAAAGTGCTTGCTGCCAAGCCTGATAACCTGCGTTCGATCCCTGAACCCACATCGCCTGCCTCTGCCTCCCAAGTGTTGGGATTAAAGGCATGCACCACCATGCCGGCTGACCTTGAACTTCTTATCCTCCTGTCTTTACCTCCTAAATACTGGTTTTATAGGTGTGCCCTACCATGCCCAATTTTTGCAGTGCTCAGAATCAAACCCAGAGCTTCCTCCTGTGTGCTAGGCAAGCATTCTAATAACTCAGCCAAGTCCCCAGCCAGAGAGTCAGGCTTTCCCAGACACTGTAGTTAGCCCAGACACAGCCCTTGGGTCTTAGTGGTCATCCTCATGGTGTAGACACTCAGAGTGGTGACTTATAGTTATCAGTCAGACTGAGATCAACCCCAAGCCAGGCCTGCTTGCTTAGGACCACCCACCCTCATCTGCTTGTGGCTAGATCTGGTGACTCATGATGTCATAGCACAAGACCAAGGATCTGTTCAGCTATATAGGCAGGTACGACAAGTCTGGGCCTGCCTTGTGTGCTATTGGGTACCAAAGACCCTGAAACTGGAGGCCAGCCAAAGGCTGCACTTAGTGTGTCTGCCAAAATCCTTTCCTTTCTTATTACTCTGTTTAACCATTTCTTGTAAGTATGTTTGCATGTATGTATGTATTATTATTAATATTAATATTTTTTCAAGTTTTTTTCTTGTTTTTTTTTTTTTTTTTGAGACGGTCTCCCTATAGCCCCAGCTGGCCTGGAACTCACTACATAGTCCAGGCTGGCCTTGAACTCTCAGAGGTCTGCCTGCCTCTGCCTCCCGAGTGCTGGGGCTAAAGTTGTGTGCCACTATGCCCAGCTATTACAATTTTTTTGAGACAAAATCACGCTCTATAGCTCTGCTGGCTTGGAACTCACTACGTAGGCTAGGCTGGCCTCGAACTCACAGAGATCTGCCATCCTTTGTCTCTGGAGTACTGGGATTAAAGACCTGTGCTACCAGCCTGCCCCATTTCCTGTATTTAAACCATTTCTGGGGTCAGGCGTGATATGGACCAGCTTGGTCTACATAAGGGAGTTCCAGGTCAACCAGGGCTACACATTGGGACCCTGACTCAAACAAAACAAAACAAAAGACAACAAAATATTTGTTTAAAAAATATGAGTGTGTAAGTGAATTTGTATGGTGCAATGCCTGAGGAGGTCAGAAGAGGACATGGGATCTCCTGGAACTGGAGTTACGACGGTTAGCTGCCGTGTGAGCACTGAGAATTGAACCCGGGTCCTCTGCACGAGCAGTTGGTGCTCCTGCTGAGCCATCTCTCCAGCCCAATAAAATTTTTTTTTTTTTTGGTCTTTTTGAGACAGGGTCTCCCTGTAGCCCCAGCTGTCCTGGAACTTACTATGTAGACCAGGCTGGCCTTGAACTCACAGAGATCCGCCTGCCTCTGCCTCCCGAGGGCTGGGATTAAAGGCGTGCGCCACCACACCCGGCAATAAAATATTTTTAAAATGAATCCTGACCATGGCTCATGCATTGGAGGATTAGGGTAAAGGATGGATTCCAACCAGATAGATTGAAATGTACTTCAGATAACTGAGCCAGACTGTGGTAGTGGGAGGTCAGAGGCAAGGGCCACTGTCAAGGGTCTCAGAGATTAAGTTAAGGACTAGGGTCAGGTGTGTGGGAGGAGCCAGGGCGATTACTGTTCTACAGCAGCTTCTGGGACTGAACATCTTCCTACCTTTGCTAGTCCCTGGGTTCCTATCTGATGTTTAACAAGGAGCACTGTCAGGGCCAGGCAGAATGCTCTACCATGGAGTAGGGATGTTGGGGTCTAGGCAAAAGGTGGAGTGACAGCTCTGTTCTCGGAGGAGATACTGCTGAGGTAAGTTTCAAATCCTTGCTGTGAATTATTTTAATATCTATTTTAATTACTTAGTTTTTAATTTTTATTTTATGTGTATGAGTGTTTTGCCTACATGTATGTGAGTGCACTCATGTCATGCAATGTCTTCAGAGGTCAGAAGAGGGTGTTGGGCCCCCTGAAACATACCCTGGAACTGGAGTTATGGACAGTTGTTAGTTACCATGTGGGTGCTGGGAACTGAACCTGGGTCCTCTGAAAGAGGAGCCAGGTTGCCCTCAAACTCCCTATGATAGCTGAGGATGACCTTGAACTTCTGATCCTCCTACCTTCATCTCCCAAGTGCTAAGATTATAGGTAATCCCACCATGCATGGCTTTATGTGGTGTTGCGGTTGGAACCCAGGGCTTTATGTATGCTAGGCAAGTAGTCTACCAATTAAGCTACATCCCCATTCTGCAAAAGTATCTTAAGGGACAGTGTCACATTCTGCTGGGCACTGCCATCCTTTCCACGTATTGCTAGAAAGAAGATTCCAGCCAGATTGTGGGTGTTAAATGGGGACTTGGCGCAAAGAGCCGCGTCTGCACTCACCCTTCAACGTCCTGCATGCAGGGACTCTGGGCCTGGAGCCCTCCTCCAATGGCAACATCTGCCTGGCTTTTCCCTTCTCTATTGCACTCAGGTCAGACCATCCGTATGGTGAGTTGGAAATGCAAGAGAAAACAAAATTTGAGTAGCATTGTTTTGATTCTTCTTGAGTGCTTGGACGTCACTAAGTAGAGATGCTAGACCCGAGGATTAGTGCTTTATGGTTTCATTTATTTAAAATGTATTCAGCCAGAGTGAGGTGTGGTAATGTACACCCCTAATTCCAGCACTTGGGAGGTAGAGGCTGAAGGTTCAAAAGTTCAAGGTCATTCTTATCTATGTAGTGAGTTGAGAGCCAGCCTGATATATATGAGATGTGACACCCTTTTTCAAAAACAAAAACAGAAATGGGCTGGAGAGATGGCTCAGTGGTTAAGAGTGCTTGCTGCTTTTCCAGAGGACCCAAGTTCTTTTCCAAGCACCCAGCTGGGTGGTTCACCTATAATTCCTATAACTCCAGCTATGTAACTCCAGCCTATAACTGCAGCCCAGTGAATATGATGACCTCTGATGGCCTCCACAATCTCTGGCATACATGTAGCATATATTCACATAGATACATAGACATATACATAAAAACAAATCTTGTTTGTTGATTTTTTTCTTATTTATTTTATGTGTATGAGTGTATTGCCTGCATGTGTGTAAGTGCACCTGTGCCGTGCAATGCCTGTGGAGTTCAGAAGAAGGCATTGGATTCCCTGTAACTGGAGTTATGGGTGGTTGTCAGCTACTTTGTGGGTGTTGGGAATCGAATCCAGGTCCTCTGAAAGAGCAATCAGTACTCTTAACTGCTAAGCCATCTCTTCAGCCTAAAACAAATCTTTTTTTCTTTTTTGGTCTTTTGAGACAGGGTCTCCGTGTAGTCCCAGATGTCTTGGAATTCACTATGTAGACCAGGCTGGCCTTGAACTCTCAGATATCTGCCTGCCTCTCTCCCAAGCTCAGGGATTAAAGGTGTGCATCACCCTTTTCTAATCCTCACAGATCCGGTGTTGAAGACATTCCTCTGCCCAGAGCCTCTTGATACTTGATATTTCCATGTTGAGACTTGTGGCTTACAGGATTCAGTGGTTCAGTTTAGTCACAGGGGATTCTGTTCTTCTTCACAGGCTCTGGACCTGATCTTGGAGAAGATGAAGGCTTCGGGCTTTGACTTCTCTCAAGTCCTAGCCTTATCTGGGGCAGGCCAGGTTTGTCAACAGCAGTCCCTTTGAAGGCATCTGTCTTGGCAGGGGGTGGGTGCTGAGCCAATGGCTCCTCTTTCACACACATTTTGTTGGTAGTAACAATGCCTCCAGCTCTTTCACCTTGGAGACTGTACAACTAGCCTCCTTGCAAAAGGTTCTGAGATGTTTCTGTGATTAAGCATTATATATAAAAGAACACTTAGCAGGACCTGGTAGCACAGGCCTGTAATCCCAGCTATAGGGGTGCTGAGACAAAAGGATTGCAAGTTCAAGGTCTGCCTGGGCTACAGAGTAAGTTTGAGGCCAGCCTGGACAACTTAGAGAGACTCTGTCTCAAAGTAAAAAGAGTGCTAGGAATATAGTTTAGTGGTAGAGTACTTTCTTTTTTAATATTTATTATTTTTATTTTATGTGTATGAGTGTATTGCCTGTATGTGTATAAATGCACCCATGTCACGCAATACATGCAGACATCAGAAAAGGGTGTTGGATCCCTGGAACTGGAGTTACTGACAGTTGTTAGCTGCCATATGGGTTCTGGGATCCAAACCTGGGTCCTCTGCAAGAGTAGCAAGTGGTCCTAACCACTGAGCCATCTCTCTAGCCCTAGAGTACTGTTCTTTTGGTCTTTTTTGAGACAAGGTCTCCCTGTAGCCCCAGCTGGCCTGGAACTCACTATGTAAACCAGGCTGGCCTTGAACTCACAGAGATCCTCCTGCTTCTGCCTCCCAAGTACCGGGATTAAAGGTATGTACCACCATGCCTGGCTTTAGAGTACTTTTATAATATGTATTAAGCCCTAAGTTCATTCCCTATTACTCTAAAATTAGATGAATAGATAGTAAAATAGGATAGTTGGTTGGAGAACTATGTAGCAGTCCCCTAAAGGTTTAGAGGGAACATTGGATGTGAACTTATTATGGCTACTTAGGAACACCAAAATTGCTATTCTCCTGAAGGAAAAGCCACAAGAATTATACTAACAATGATAATAATTTCATTTATTTTATCTTAAATTATGTGGTATGTATGTGGGAGGGCTATGCATGTGAGTAGAGTGCAAGAGGAGGACAGAAGAGGGCGCTGGAGCTCCTGGAGCTGGAGTTACAGGCAGTAACTCCAGTTGGGAACCAAACCTGGGTCCTCCACAGGAGCAGCAAGTGCTCTTAGCCTTTGAGACATCGCTTCAGCCCTGAAAGTAGTTTTAGTAGAAAGTAGTAGTAGCAGTAATGCCATCAAAGAGCACTGAGCCCTGAGTGTGTACTGGGTACCCTATGGAGGACCTCCAGTTATGTAACACAGCCCTGATGGTGATTCCAAGCTGCTGCTGGAGGTGTTAACCAGAGCAAGAGCCCTGGGCATGGCCAGCTCTGCTCTTAGAAGCATGATCTGAGCATGTCATCCAGCCTCCTGGGGCCTCCATATCCTTATGAGAATAAGACCATGTGACTATTAAATACACAGGATGGTGCCTAGAACATAGTAAACTTTGCTTTAGCTACTGTTCTTTTTTTTTTTAAGC